GTTCCCAAATTTGTGGTTTTTGACAAAAAAGGTTTGGAAGTTTTGTTTCGGTTTTCTGTCCTTTCTTTAAAATTTCAATAAAAAGTTCAGTTTTTGATATGAAGAGTTGATTCTAGCGTTGCTCGATGGAGAACATTAACTTGTATAAGGAGAAATTTTTCACCTCACCTTACGGCTAGTTTCGTTTGAAGCAAACCTCTGAGTACAAAAGTTGTTTAGAATCGAATTCTGCAGTCCCTAACGAGAGGTTGTTTTAAAATTATCCTTTTTTGGTTTTTAAATTAAATTTTACGGTTTTTGAACTTTTAAAATTTTGTATTTTTCAGTTTAAAAACCAAAAGAGGACGATTGTAAAACAACCTCTCGTTAGGGACTGCAGAATCCGATTCTGAACAACTTTTGTACGCAGAGTTTTGCTTGAAAATGCTTGCTTCGAACAAAACTATCCGTAAGGTGCGGTGAAAAAGTATCGCTGAGCCAAAAATCAGCGATATCTTCAGGTTTTGAACTTTTTCTTCAAGCGTCCTCAGTTTGTACAGGATACTTCGAAGTATATGTGTCTGACGTTTTCTTGGGTTATTGACATTATATGGCTGAGAAATAAGTTAATTACTGAAAAAGTTATTGAATTTTCGACTTAGCACACTTATGAGCGAACAGAAATGTATTTCACCGTAGTTCATCTTGTAGCCCATCAAATTCTCTATCAGATGTGGTATTGCCTGAGTTTTTCTGTCTAGTCGTTATTTTACAAATGGGGTATTAAGCTAGTAGAGTAGGCTAAAATTAACATTATTAGTACTAACTAGTCTACCAAATAATTAGACTACCAAATAGGCAACGACTGCGAAAAAGAAATTATCTTGTGCCACTTTAAATGGATCTTTATACCAACTAGCGGTCAATACTGCATATAATTTTTGAATTGATAATGGTATACGTGTACCTATTTATTTCACCATCCAATATACATTCGATAAATACAGTAATCCATCACCAGCATGCATCGGCCAAAAGGGTTTATACACAACATTTCTAGCTCTTTTACATATTTATTGTTCATATCATATTTGGCTTGCTAACATTGAACAATATTCGACTGCGTGGCAAACAAGTAACACCAGTCTCAGATCAAGTCGTCGATTTTGCGCTAACGGTACTTCTGATAGTACATGGCATGTAAGAAATTTTGCAAACACGTGCCAATTTTTTGCCAGTACTTACAAGTAAAGAGTACTTGCATCAAGTACGTTCTCAAGCGCAAATCTATCATATAGCGATATTTTTTTTCAATCTGTTTTGGCTAGGACTGACAGAATGTATACTTTCGAGAACGGTGATCATGATTCTGGAATCATTTTTTCGTTTGATGTAGTAGTTCGCGAGAAAAAAGGCAAATAAGAAATATTTTTAACACACCAAGCTTCTTACACACCAATATTGACCGTCTAGAAAAAGTATACAGTTTTCGATGCCGAGTGACCGTTTAGACGATTTACACACCTAGTAACACGCTTTATTTTTTACAGTGTATATATGTTCAAAACTTATGAAGAAAAACATTCAGATATACGTTAATTTGAGATGAATAATAGAGTCATATTGATAAAAACTGTACGAGAATAAAGGTAGTTTCTTTCAAAAATGGTGAAGATAGATTTTGTTATTTGTAGAAATAAGTATTTTGTTGCCAGATACCATAGTGACCACATCTAACTTATCAAAGTAGGCACGCGTGTCCTTCACTTTTCCATCCGACGATATTTGATAAATATCGTTATGGTTCTGTGTAGCAACGAGCCACTCGTTTTCGGACAATTTACATAACCCATACGGGTCGTAAGGAACGTCGAAATTGAGAGACCATACAGTTTCCATATTGTGAATAATTTTCAGTTCAAGACGAAATTCTTTACGTTTTCGATTGCCAATAACCAAAGCAACATTACCTTCGTGATATTCAAGGTTGAAAATACGTTCATGTTTTGAGCATTTCAGTATTACATTCTCTTCCGTTATTTTACCCGTCGACGACGATAGAGTGAATTCCTCAATCTCTGCTGACCATTCATCGTACGCTAATAAAAATGAATCTTCGGTACACGCAAGACAAAGATATTTGTCGTCGTTTTTTGCTTCTTTGAGTGTACGCACTGACATTGTTGCCTCATCAAGAGAATATACGCAGTCTTCTATTAATATAAAAAACTTGCTAAGAAGCGAACACCAACGAATGTCTCTTATTTTATGGTTGCCAATCGTTTCCGTTTGTTTCACAATATTGAAAGCATAATCATATAAACGTAATTTACTACCGTTTTCAATCAATGCATGCGTTTCATTAGCCGCAAATTTCGTTGAATATTTTCCCGAAAGCTGCAGCGTTCTACCAGCTTCCATTAACTGTGCCAAATCAAAACGTCTTTGTTGTAAAGCAACGACTTCATTATAGCTGGGTGGCGGAGGCGCATTTGCATCTTGCCAAGGGGAGAAACGTGAATCCAATTCACCAGTATTCAATCGAACCGTTTCGACATTAAAAAAGTCAGAATTCTGTTCAATATTATGTAATGTTTCTTTCAAACGTTGAACTTGTTCAGGTGTCGCGTTGCTCGCCTGTTCTCTCAAATCTTGAATGGCTCGTGCTTGTTTTGTTTGATAGTTTTGAAAATTTTCTTGTACAAATCGATCAATTTCCGTTTTTTTCTTGTCATACGCTTGATCAATTTCTCTGTGTCTGTCTGAACGCCGTTTTTCACATTGCTCGTTGAGTTTTTTAGCTAATATTTCCGGCGTCTGATGATTTATACTGTCAAATAAAACGTTGACTTCACCGACTATCGCGTGGAAGTCGAAATTATCGGCCATTTTTCTGTAAAAGTTTCGTATTTGTTTTCACTCTTATGTCTATGATTTACTAGTTCTCAATTTTCCGTTTAACCGAACTTTGCATATAACATCATGGTAACATTTTCTTGTTATTATTATACATTTCTTATCGAGGGAGAAGAACAGAAAAAAGCAAAAAAAATGAATCATTGCATAGCTTTTTCTCTGATACGATACTAACGCCACGTGTTATAAAATAAATAATGATCATGTTTTTCGTAAATGTTTTTTGTTTGATTTAAAATCAACAGGATTTGGAACAGGCAAAAAAGTTGTTTTTATGTCCTTGCAATAAAATGTTTGAAAAATGCTTTTTTTATCATCGTCTTATCACCATACACACAAAAAACATTTATTCCATCAGCTTCAAAAACACTTTTTCTTCCAAAACGGTAATACCGTTCAGTCTTATAAGGCTATAGTTACATGTCATTTCACAACGGCATCAGTAGTATGTGTCTCTCTTTTCCTTTCTTGTATCATTGTAAGCAAAGAACGTGATGTAGTTATCGTATCAACAAAACAGCTACACAACGATTTCTTTTTTTCCATTTTTCTGTTCTTCTCCCTCGATAAGAAATGTATAATAATACCAAGAAAAATGTTATTATGATGTTATATGCAAAGATCGGGTAAAAAGAAAAATGAGAATGAGTGAATAATAGACATTAGAGTGAAAACAAACACGAAACTTTTTATAGAAAAATGGCTGATAATTTTGACTTCAGTCGGTGAAGTCAATTTTATTTGACAAAATAAATCAACAGACGCGGGAAATATTAGCTGAAAAGCATGTAGTATAACAAGTATAAATAACTAACAGTTGTCTAACGTCTGCTCAAGACGCAACGTCGAATCGTTACAACTGATATTATTATTTTAGTAAACAAAGAGTTTTATGTAGAAATTAAAGTTATTATGACCTTTCTTACAAGAACAAAAAGTGATGACCACACAACGTCAAATGAATTTCACTTAAAAGGTACACTCAAACATAATAAAGTAAATTTCGTCAATTATCGACAAAACTTCGCATCTCGGCGCACTAAGCACTATAAGTAAAATTCACTCCAAATTCAAAGATCGGTGGCTATTTTTCGAATAAGTCAAAAATCAAATGAGAAAAGTTGTGCAGTTTTCAATAGAGAATTGAATTCTGAACAAAGTGAGATGTTTTCGAGCCTTCTCTGACTTTGGGATATTTCTCTTCATCGAGAAGTCAGAGGAAGCTCGAAAATGTCTCACTTTGTTCAGAATTCAATTCTCTATCGTTTGAGACCATTTTCAAAAAGTCTCGTTGTTGGGAAGGTTTTCTAGACGTCCGGTCTTTGGAAAACCCTTTAGATAGTTTTTGAAAATTTTAAAAATCTTTCCATTGAATTGGCCATCGCTTTTAGCTTATTTGACGCCGGTTCCATTAAATTTGAATGAAAAAATCGACACTAGTCCACCTGGACGTTTGTTGCATCGTTCCAAAGAAAGTCATTTTTCCCGGCAAGGAAGATGAATTTAAAAATTAAATGATTTTTATGATGGAGATCGATTTTTGAGCCCTTCATAGTTTTTCGCATTTTTCTCTATGAAGAGCGAGCTTTAAAAAGCTGCAAAGGTAATATTTGAGATCAGCTCGATGCGACGAATCAGAATGTGTATAATAAACTCCGAAAAAAATTGACTGCAATTTTGCATTAGCTGCACCTTAGTGAAAATAATTTTTGCCTATTTTCGTGTAAAATTAGAAATTTCATAACTAAGTCAAAATCGATGCAGAATACGTCATAATATCAAGACGGACTCTACTTTATTTGCATCATATCATGGACTTCAATAGAACTTCTAGCTTCTGCGCATAGACGGTTTTTCTTTCCACAGAAGTAACAAAAATGCACACAGGTAGAATTGTAAAAAGCTGCTTTTATGGAGTTTGTACTGGGCATAATGAAAGACATTCTAATCTGTGGTATTATAATTATAAACCGTTCAAGGGTTAATACAGTTCCTGTTGTTTTTAGGGTGAGGGGAGATTTTAGGTCAGAATCTAATCCTCTTAGCGTATTCTGATGAACGACAGTACAAGGCAATTTGTTCCAGTCCTCTATAGTTTTTGGTACGAAAGAACCGGGTGTAGTTCTGGCACTGAACCCGTTTGTTATGTGAGTTTCCGTCAGTTTGACGGGTGGATGGACGACTGATAAGACTGCTATCAGAAAAAGCACTGCAACCATGGTAAAGATTATAGAAATAAACTAAAGGCGAAATTTTCTCCGGGAGGATAATGGTGGTAAATTCAACTGACTCGAAAGAATAGTAGAATTGAATACATGGTCTTTTAGTATGATTCTACATGCTAGATTCTGTACTTTGTCTAATACAGATAAGTGAGTAGAATAAGATGACTTATAAATGATAGAACCATATCCAAAGGCGGGCGAACACAAGTTTTATACAAGTGAAGACGTAACGAAGGTGGAGTATCCCTAAACACACGAGAAATAGATTCCAACATCTTTGTACAATTAGGCGCAATATGTTCTAAGTGGCGTTTCAAAGTGAGGTCATGAACAAGTCTCATGCCAAGTAGTTTTACGGCTGTTGAGCGTTCAATTTTTATATCGTTAATAGTAAGTGACATGGATGGATAGGTATTAGGTATAGTAGAAAGTATTATCCATTCATATTTTTCTAAAATATGATGGGGCAAGCGATCACACGCTTTCTCAAAATCGAACCTTGCGTCGGTTATTCAAATGCTGATATAATGGGACGGTTAAAGGACCCTAAATGTAACACTCTACCAAATAGTTCTTATGTATGTTGATGCGCCGCCTCTTTAGATCACACAAATATACATACTTCATATACAAGCATTAGAAGCAGCATTTGCTAATTCTATTGTATAATAAAGTCAGAAAAAAATTGACTGCAATTTTGCATTAGCTGCACCTTAGTGAAAATAATTTTTGCCTATTTTCGTGTAAAATTAGAAATTTCATAACTAAGTCAAAATCGATGCAGAATACGTCAAAATATCAAGACGGACTCTACTTTATTTGCATCATATCATGGACCTCAATAGAACTTCTAGCTTCTGCGCATAGACGGTTTTTCTTTCCACAGAAGTAACAAAAATGCACACAGGTAGAATTGTAAAAAGCTGCTTTTATGGAGTTTGTACTGGGCATAATGAAAGACATTCNAGACGGTTTTTCTTTCCACAGAAGTAACAAAAATGCACACAGGTAGAATTGTAAAAAGCTGCTTTTATGGAGTTTGTACTGGGCATAATGAAAGACATTCTAATCTGTGGTAAGGCGCCGCTAATTCAAAAGAATTGCAAGTTCTTATTTTTCACTTAAAACTATATCATTCGATGCAAAATTTCACGGTGATTACGAATATCACCTTTTGAATTGATTTTGATCCAGTTTTG